TCCTTCCTTCCTTCCTTCCTTCCTTCCTTCCTTCCTTCCTTCCTTCCCTAAAACTGACAGTGAATGTTGTCCTTAATAGAAAAACAAACGTTTACTTTCATTCATTGTAATTTTAAGAATAAGACAAGGGTAAATTTGTTGCTTCCACTTTTGAACACATTACCAGAGATCTCACAAGAGAAAGATTAATCAAAATGATAACAATCACATTATTTCTAAGTCAAATCTCATATGGAAAACCAAAGAAACTCTGTGGAGACCATTAGTCGCCAAGGGAGGTCTTAGCCTGGTTACTGCACAGACACAAGAATCAATAGTTACCAACAACTACGGCGATAAATAAGATACCACTTCTAATGTTGGAGCAGCCCTAAAGTTGACTAAGAGAACTCTAAGACAGAATACATAAAGCATAAAAGGGAAATGAAAAGCTCTCACCGTGGTTTTATTATGGCATTCTTCCATACAAAAGCACTGTTCACAAATGGCCTCATTGGTTGTTGTGAAGATGTGCCATCTCCCCCAACCATCAAAATCTACATCCAGTCCAGTCCTCTTCTATCCAGAAAATTTGTGAAGAGGTAGTGATATAGATGAACTTGGCAAACTGCAGATGCATGCTAAGCCAGGCTGTGCGTTTGCTCTGAGTAAAGCTGTCTTAGAACACAGACACAGCTGGGGTGCCATGCATACTACATGCAGAGGTGAGTAGCTACAAGAGATTGTGAATCCCCTTGTAACCGTCCCTTATAGAAAATAATTTTGCGGCTGCTGCTCTAGAGCATCAGGCAATAGACTCAGAGTCCAGAATCGCTGTTAGGTCTATAAGGGCATATACTCAGGAACTGGTATAAGAAAACTGGCTTGGGCTCGAGAGATGGCTCAGAGGTTAAGAGCACTGAATGTTCTTCCAGAGGTCCTGAGTTCAATTCCCAGCAACCCCATGGTGGTTCACAACCATCTGTAATAAGATCTGGTGTCCTCTTCTGGGGTGTAGGTATACATGCAGGCAGAACACTGTATACATAATAAATAAATAAATAAATAAATAAATAAATAAATAAATCTTTTTTTAAAAAAGGAAGGAAAGACTGACTTTACTTTAAAAAAAACTGGCTCATGAAAGAAGAAAAATGAAACTATTTGATAGTTCATTGTTTTATAAATACTTGTTTATTTTTATTTTGTGTGCATTGGTATTTTGCCTGCATGGATGTCTGTAAAGTTGCCAGATGCCCTGGAATTGGAGTTGCAGACAGTTGTGAGCTGCCATGTTAGTGCTGGCAATTGAACCCAGGTCCTCTGGAAGAAGAACCAGTGCTCTTAGCCACATAACCATCTCTTCAGCTCTCTATACTTCATAATTTAAGCAAAGCTTTACATGAAACATATAACTAAGTATTAAAACTAAAGATACGTAGTTAATAGAGGAAAATGCTAAAATACACACTTGAGACCTTATGATGGAGAAAAATATGTTAACCAAGAATTTTGTAGCAAAATATCAAAAATTAATGATTTTAATGATAAAAAATAAGTGGATTTTGTTCCTTAGGGGAATAACAGAAAAAATAACAGATGGTAAAAATGTAATTATCATGCTGACTACTTAGACCATTCTGTAGACCCTGGAAAATCAGAAAATAGAAGGGAGGTGACTTTTAAAACGGGAAAAGAAGCATAAACCAGCGATTTGTGGAGGGCAAACTACACATGACACTATAGCAAACAAGTGGGTCACAAGAAAGAGATACTGTTTTTAATTAATTATTTTTAGAATTTTGTACATGGCTTCTGCATTTGTGTGATTTCTATACCTCTCTTTCCCACTTCAACTCCTCCCTTGATTCCACCTCATATTCTTCTTTGATTATTTATGCACACACAAACACACACACACATGCACGCATGCACACACACACACACACATGCACGCACACAAAGAGATGTTCATATAGCTGCAGTCTGCTGAGTCCATGTAATGTATTTAGTTCTTACATATTTTAAGGCTGACCACTTGCGACCGTGTAACCTATCACTGGGATTGTCCCCGAGGAAGACTGAGCCTTTCTCAACAGCAGCTATTTGCCTGTAGCTCCTCGTTGGGGAATGGGCCTTGTGCCATTTTCGCCATCCATCATGAGCTCCCAGTTCAACTGCTGGAGTCATTTTTCAGGTCTCACTTAGGCCTGGGAGTGGGGTTGACGTGAGTAGGCACTGGGGCAAGCTAGTGGGTGAGCTGTGCCTGAGATACCATTTCACTCTCAGTCAGGATTGCAGATAGTGCCATGTGCTGACAAGGACAGAGGAAAAACGTTTGCGTATTGCTCATGGCAATGCAACTGGTACATGGCTTAGAAAAGCTGTGTAAGGCTGTGACCTAAAACCTTGTTCTAAGGCTACATGAATCACCTCAGGATAGAAATCACAGTGTTATCCGTGATAAAATGTGATAGCTAAGACTATCACTTGGGCGGGAGCGGACTGTACACAGAAGCCACAGTGGACCTCTGTGAGAAGAAAGGAGCAGCCAGGAGCTGTTTTCAGTGAACCGCGTGGATAAAACAGAATTAAGAAACAGATGAGACTGAAAACAAATAATTCATATATAATTAAAATTAAATGTTTTGGAGAGCACTCCATATTTTGACAGATGGAAGACATGTACACAAATCTATAAAGAAGATAAACATTATATTAACTGTGCTATAGCAAATCTCCGAGTTGCAAGGAGATTCAGGGGTTTGGGACCCAGAAGATAAAAAGGGATAAAAAGACCAAAGGAGTACCAACCAGTCAAGGACTTGGGCTAACCACAGCTAATCAGTTAGAGCCCATGGTTAAGTCAGGTTTGGCCAGTTACCCTTAAATGGAAACAAATGCCAGGGACGTTGTTCCTTCCAGCATTTGCTAGGCTGTTGCTCAGACAGTGTCCTTAGGTGTTGGCTTGGGTCTCAGCTGTTTGCTAAGCTGTCGCTCTAACAGACTGAAGGTGTAGCTTTAAGAAAGGACCTTTCGTGGCATGGGCTGTGATCAGCTGAGGGAGTTCACTGTCTTTGGTGATTTCATGTCCACTCCCAAAGGATTAGTGTGCTAGGTGACCACAGGTATTGGGGTCAATTCCCAAGTCCTGAATTCAACAGTAAGGAAAGCCCTAACTTTAGAATGTGTTACTAACCATAGAATTTCAAGGAAATGTGGCTGCAGCTAGAGAAAATACAAATTCATGTTTTTGATAGCTGACCCAGAGAGCATGCCATTTGGGTAGATGCTGTTTGAAAACCTTACTAACTTAATGTTTATGAGCTGATTTAAATAGCTTACAAACCAGTATCTCTATCCTTGACGCGAGTCTTCCCACCTGTACCCTGAGCGTGTTCAGTCCACTGCAGTAGAGGACCGTTCCATAGCGCTCATTTTAAACAGTTGCCTCTACAAATCATCATGCAGTTATTGATCTACTTGAAAAGAGCCTTCTGGTTTTTAACTTCATCCTTTGTTTATTCTGATTCTTCGTTCATCTTTCACCACTGTTTCTCTTATAGGTTGGTCGCTGGCCATCGATTCTGTAGTGAGCTGCTCCTGACTTAGAAAAATGTAGGGACCTTAGTCACTCAGAGGTCACCCGTGTGTAGACATCACCTCGTTAAGATTATTCCTGGAGCATGGGCGGGTTTGGGCCACACCTGTAGCCAAGTGCTCAGTTTCATTTCTTTCTCCCTTGTCTTCATTCTCTTTCACATTGCTGTGGCAAAAGATGTGTTATAAACAAATTCGAATAGGAAAGATTTATTTTGGTTCAAGGCTTCAGAGTTCTCGTTTACAGGAAGTCATGGTGGTGGAAGCAGGCTCTTGGTCTCATGACAGGTAGCAGAGGGAGAAGAGAGACAGTCACCAGAGGCAGGTGACTTCAAAGCCCACCCCCCCCACACATCATATACCTCTGTCGATCAATTCCCTTCCTCTAAATTTTCAAGACCCTCCCAAAACATCAGCACCAAGTTGCTTAACACATAAGCCTCTGGGGGACATTTTGTGTCAAATTGTAACACTGTCATGGAAACTCCCCCACATGGAAAAAGTTAACATGATTTACCTGGTCAGTCTCTGGGTCAGTTAGGAACTAGTCTCATGTGAAACTCGGTTTGGTTCATTCCTTCCTTCCCTCTCTAATGATGGCAATGAATTGTAATAGTTCTTGGTGAACGTGTGTTTTGTAATCGTAGGCGAGGTCAGACAGTGTTTGTACTTGTGCTAAATTGCTATTGTACAAACAAAGATAAAAGCCTTTGAAAGAAGCTTTTAACAATTACGTTTGGACTTAGCCCTTTACAATGGATATTTCCATGTTGGCAGACATGATGAGATCAATGGGAAAAGTAAGTATTCAACATGTAGGACCCTGTGGATTTCAGGGTCCTGAAGGGCCGGAGAGTTTAGGCATGAAAGGCTGCTTTGTCATCCATGGCTCAGCTTCTACTTCGCAGCCTTCACGGGAAACAAGGCAGCAGTGGAGGGAGATGGGAATAGTCCTAGGAGACTTACCTGGAGCTCTCCTAAGGGAGATTAACAGACCAGTTTAAACGGCATCGTTTTTGCATCCAAGAAATCTTTATTAATGGAAGTTGCCTTCTTTAAAGGGATGAACCAAGTCGTTTTCCCTTTTGAACGCTCATTTCCTAAATTATGTTCTCTTCCAGATTCACCGTGAGACCATGTCGTTCAGATTTGGTCAGCATCTCATCAAGCCCTCTGTGGTTTTTCTCAAGACTGAACTGTCCTTCGCCTTGGTAAATAGGAAGCCCGTTGTTCCTGGCCGTATCCTTTTCTTATAAAAGAGCCATATGAACCCAACCAACCAAATTCACAAAGAATCAACCTTTAGCATCTGTCCACGAAAGGTAAGCAAGGAATCTCCCTCCCTCCCTCCCCATTTGGAGTAACCAGGTAAGATGTTATTCATATTTATTTTGAATCCAGTTGGTGGCACCCGTAATATGCTTGAGCAATGTTGCAGAACTTCTGAGGAGGGTTGCTTAGCAACTGTAGCTTTGGAGGGGAATTTTTGGTTGACCTTTTCACTACTATAGCTGTGTAAATAAATAGGTGTTTCTAAAATTGGTTCAATGAATATCATGGGCACTTTGAATTTCTTTTATTCATTGTGAATTTTGATGGAGGGTTAGAAACAGGATGGTGATTCTGTGCGGTAGGATTAAGGGATTACAGGAGAATTAAAGTTTCTTTACTTAATGGAGATTGTTTAATGTATTCACTTATTTTACTGTATTTAATTTTTGTGATTGTAACATAATTACATCATTTCCCCCTTCCTTTTCCTCCCTCCAAGGATTCTCATATACCCCTTCTTTCTCTTTCAAATTAAATGGCCTTGTTTTTCATTAATTGTTGTTAGGTACATGTATATGTATATATGTCTATATACATACCTATTCTCTAGGTAAACCTGCTCAGTCTATATATTATTTCTTGTACGTATATTTCCAGGGCTGAAGATTTGATATTGGATAACCAATTGTTGCGTCTTCGCTGATGAAGACTATGTCTCCCACTCTGTAGCCCTCAGTTGCCTCTAGTTCTTTGTGTAAGGCTGAGGCCTCAGGGTCTTTCCCCGTTTACCTTCCCATGTCTATTGGTGTTGTCCCTGTTCATCTCAGGTTTGGACAGTCACACAGGTGAGACTTTATGGGTGTAGCTTCCGACTTTATCAGGAGACACAATCTAACATGGTATGAATGTTGTGATCTGTGCTGGAATGAAAATGCCATCTTGTCTTGGGGAAAACCCTGGTTTCCAGACCATTCTCCATCGTGAGTGTTGGTTGAATTGCTTTATTTTGGTGGGAGAACGTTCCCGCCACTGAATTCAAGAGGAGCTTCTTTCTCCTTTGCAGCAGTGATTAGAACGGGTGGGACACTCAGAGGAGGTGATTTATTTTGTGTTGAACATATCCCTCCTGGTTGTGTACATGTGAATTTTCTAGAGTTTCCACAATGCTTTTCTCTTCCTCCTTAATTTTATTATGCAACGGGTAACAAGAAGGAGGCTTCCTATTTTAAGATAATAGGTCTTTTCCACACTGAACCATGACTTGCTTTGAAGTTAATTCCTTAGGATAGTCCTCAATGTATTAATGTTTCAAGATAATTTTGGAGTAAATTTTTCAGTGAAAATGTTTGAAGATCTTAAGAACTTCATGAGTAACTTGCTTCCTTAGTCATGTAAACTCTGCTTGATTGAAAGGGAAAAGGAAAATCAACCCCCAGAATAAAATTGTGATTCTCTACTAAGCTCTCAGTTCCTAAACCCAAATTTTACCTAATTAAATTTTGCAAAATTATAAAAAACAATGAACAGGTAATCAATGTATCAATAATGCTGGATGAAAATTATTCTTTTAAACATTTAACTATTTTTGTAAAAGTTTAAAGGTAAAGCTGAGCTTAAATGCTCAATGTTGAGAAACCAGCTTTCTCTGCTTCTGAAATGGGGAGAGCCCGAGGTGGACTGACTTAGGGAGACTGTGAAAAGACAGCTTATCAACTATGGGTTAATTTTGTGCTGCATTCTTCAAATGGAGCCTGAATTTCACAGAATAAAAGCATTTTTGTTTCTTTCTTTGATCTTACTGCAAATTTACAGTGGTCATTTTTTTCCTTGGGGGAGTTTTTACACAAAAATATAGTTAGATGTCAAAAGAATAAAAGTAAAATTACATTATTTTCTACGTGCTAGTTTTAACTGACTTTTAACAAGGGTAAGATACCTAGGGATGAAGATGAGAATTTGAGTGAATGAGTCTTCATACTCTGATGTCCTGCAGGCCTACTTGATGCATGCAGACCCACTGTGTGTTAAACGGTTGATAATGGAGTCGACTCTGCCTCGTGAACTTTCATTCGTAACTTGATAGGACTCGATTCTTCCGCCGTGCTCTAGTGATTCACCCGTGAAAGTGTGATGCTGAGACTGGGAAAATGTCTGACAAGAACCTGGAAGTGTCTCTTGTGAAGGAGATGGCCACAGTGAGTCGTGAGCAAGAGTGAGATTTGTGCCCTGGACCCGTTTTGAAAGTGAAACCTCAACAGTTGCTGGATCTGTGAGATCATGCCAAGAACATTCTAACCAGTGAGCATGGAGCACCTCGACCTTGGGGAGGAACCTGCTTCTGTCTGAGAGTGTGAGAGCCAGGATGTTTTGGGAACTGGCACGTGTGGGAAGCCACGTCCTACCTCAGCTCTTGAGAACCGCTTGGCGCTTTAGATGATGCATTCAGGCAATGCTGTCCTATATTTCATGTTCCCTTTGCAGACGAGTACGTGTGTATGTGGGGGTGAGGGCATGGTTCCCAGAATTGGAAAGCATCTTAGTTAGCAGTTGCTTACTTGCAGAAAGCCACAGTCTTCTGTCCCGAGATTGGGATTGTCCCTATGGTTAGTTCTGTAGAAAGTCAAGGTCTTCCATCCTAAGTTAGGGATTGCACGTGTGACTAGCTCACATTCCATAAAACCACCAGGGAGAGGTTTCTACCCTTGGTGGCCTTCTGTCCTGCCTGTCTAGAGTAACCCTGTTACATGGCTCCCCTAGCTTCTGCCGCCTCTGCCTCTGAGCTTCTCCACCCCGGTAACTTCTGACCACATCATTTTTCTCTTCCCTTGTTTACAGACCATTTTGTAAAAAAAGTCCAAACTCCATGGCAAGTTTTAAGGATCTTTAGTATTTTCTAAGTGTCTATCTTTCCAGTCACCTGCTATATGTTCATTCCCTTAACACTTCCTCTGCCCCCTTTACTCTGAGGCTCTCCCCAGCCGTTTCATTTCAACTATGGCGCTAGGATAACTACTCTTCCCTCTGAGTAAAGATATCCTCATTGGTTTTTGTGACATTCCATTCCTTCTGCACACATTGACTCCTTCAACCCTTGCTTACCAAGTCCATACTCTACTCCCAGTACCATGCCACATATCCCAAGCTTTTTCAGAATGGAGCGCTATACATCCTTGGTTATCTCTGCATTGACCTTCCTTTCTGCATGGAGGACTTGTTCTTAACCCATATTTCAAGCATCCTGAGTCCTGTAGTAACCGAAATTAAAGCAGAAACTGCAAACACCAAGAACAAATACCGTGGTGTAACTAATGGACCGAGGCACTAAGGACCTGCTGATTTCTGTCTTTACCGCCACACCCAGGGCCAAGTCGTGTCACCGCGCTGTTCCAGAGTTTCTAGTATTGTGTTCAGGCTGGCTGCCCCGATTTTCCCCTTCCTGTTTTCCGTGGTGTATTGTTTGTCTGGGGGGGGGGGTGAGGGTGACGTCTGAATAGAGTAAATGAGCCCATAGACGCCATCAGCTGGCAGTACTGTATTTTCAGGACGGTTTTATAGCAACTTCAGGTAAAATGGAATTTTTTACTTTGAATACTTGTTTTACCGTTTTTAAAATGATATCTAAGCACCCTGTGGGGTGTGTGCCATTGATGAGTGACTTGTAAGCATTTTTATTTTAAATTGATGGCCCCACTGATATTTGGTTGTCCCGACCAGCCCCCTTTCCCTTAGGATTTTGCTTTTTAACTTCAAGAAGAAAAATGCCTGTATGTCTGGTGCATTTCTGCGTGGGCACAGACGTGGAGGTTAGGGAGAACTCGGGTGCCAGTGCTCGGCTTTCACCCTGTGTACGCCTGGCCCTCTTACAGTTTGTTACTGGGTGCACAGACTAGCTTCTTGGGGGCCTTCCGTCTGTGCCACCTATCTGATCGCAGGAGTTCTGTAATTGAATTACATGCATGTGCTACCATGTCAGGATTTTGCATGGGTCATGGGCATTCAGACTTGTGTCCTCAGGCTTGCCTGACAAGTTCTTCACCCACGGAGTCATCTCCCTATCTCCCTGTCACTGGAGTTTTGTCGCTTTTGTAGTAGAGAAGGAACTGTCCCATCAGGGGCCAAAGGTGTGCTTTTGAAGCAAGACGATGCTTCAGTCACAAAAGCTCCAGTCCGACTCCTTCTCTCACACATAAAGCACACACTCCCATTCCTTGCCAAGTTCTCAGAGCTACCTGAATAGGCTCTGGCCTCTGTGGTACGACACTCCAAAAAAGAATGTCAGAGCGTCTTTAATCCATTAATTTCTGGGTATGGGAAAGTGTTCTCCAAGCTTGCTTGGTAAGAGGACAGACTCGTTTTTGAAGAACTGCATCTTCAGGATTTTGTTGAACGTTTTATTCATATGTTTCAATGCAGCTCAGCTCTGGTTTATGGCTGAAATAAATAGGCGCACTACAGTTAGTGCTTCTCCTTGCCCCTCCCCTTGTGTTCTGCTTTGTCCACCTCTCCTCTTGAGTTGAGCATGAAAAATGAATTTGAACATGAGTGGAATCCATTTGGTGACTTGGGCTTTTATTGTAAATAAAATCACTCATTTGTTATGTCCCGTTGTTTCCAGCAGACAGGGTATTGATCTGTGGATTGCTATTCAGAACAGTGCAAGGCGCCCTCGCGGAAGAGGGACAGAGTAGTGTTTGTGGAGGCTTTGGATGTGGCGTGTGATGGAGACAAACCTTGCTCACTGGTCATACTGCATTATACAAATCATTTGTCAACCGTTTATTGAATCAGCTATTACAGGGAACCGATTCTCTGGGCCAGGCGCGTCGCACACAGAATGCTCTCAGGACCAAACAGTATTAGGATGATGCATGGCGGACGGCCTTCCAAAGTGTATTCGTGAAGAATTAGAGGAGTTAACGTAAAGGACATTTCTGCTGACACATTACCAACAAAAAGTTTGCTGCGGCGGGAACTGTGCAGCAAGACGCAGCCCCAGCAGCCAGGAGAGAAAACCCTGACAAACACTTTTCCATTGCAAACTTTTACCATTTCCGGTGAGGAATGCTCCCTTCTCTGACTTCAGACCATTACCACAGTTGCTCCCGAAATAAGTGAAAAAAAATAATAAAAATAACTTCTTTTCTTAACTTGTGCTTCTTGCAGAATAGATACTATAGATAAAAAAAAAATGCCCTTTTAGTCCTTCCGTACAGATCAGAAATATTTGTCACTTCCTGAGTGGGTTTTAGTCTTGCGAATTCCTTTAATTGTTCAGGAAAGCACAGTTATTAGTGATCTGCTGATCTTTCCTTTCTCAGCACTGTTTCTTTTTAAACCTTCCTGTGCAAATAAGATAGCATAAGCACTATTGTAATAGCCTTATTGCTAAAGATAGAATTTTGATCTTTAAAGTGCCACGAGCACATGTCTCTGCATGGCTGTGTGTATCAGCAGGCTTAAATATTCCTACGGAGATCTTTAGAAGTGTCCTCTGCTCCCTTGCCCCTAGCTGTGGTGGGATGTTTGGCTTACTTGTGGTCGTATTTTCAAGCTAGCAGATTACGGCATTCAAATGTGTGCACATGGTGGTGATTAGTCAACCGTTAGAGAATTCTACATGAATTTGCCCCTCTTCTTGGGCTGTGAGGAGTTTATCCACCTGCTAATAGCAGCCCACCGTGGCACTGGTGTGGGAACGCGGCGCCATCTTGGATGCTTATCCCCCCCCTCTCTCTTCACTAGCACCGTTTGCAGTCTAGAATGCGCCACAGGGGATGCAGTCCATTTCTTTTAGAGGACAGATCTCGTGTGACAGTCATTTTTCTTACGGGTTATCCAAGGAAATAACTGCATAGAAAACAAGTCAGCTTTATCCCAAATGTCAGCTCAGGAGGTGATGGAGAGTTGATAATGTCAGGGGTGACTCTGAGGTAGCATTTAGGGTTAGCGGGCAGTATTTGTCAAGGGTGCCACAGGCAAAAAAATAAAAAAAGAAGCCCTTCCTGCCAGGCTCTCTTCTTCCAAGATTCCTTTTGGTTCATACACCTGAGACTTGTTCTTTAAGTGTCTACCTGACGATAGACAGGTGGGTATCTGACCCTAAAGGAATGCATTAGGTAGGTGTTTTGTATGTGTGTAAGGAAGATCTGAAGTAGAATGGGGAAGTATGTATGGACTCCTCCCATAGGCCCCATGGTCTCTGGGCCCCTTAGAAGTGGCTTTTTCTCTTGAGTGAATTGTCACTCTCCTGTCCCTCACCACCTACTTCCCAGGGGATTTGCATGTACAGATGCCATCAGTGGGTCTCAGCACGTTCCCATTACTTGGTAATTTAGTTTTATTCTTTTTCTTCACTGTGGTCCCTTCATATCAGGGTTCACCTTGTAGCTTAAGCCCCACCGCAAGTGAGTGTGAGGGCGACCTGACCTGGTTATCCGTCGAAACAGAAAGGTGGAACTGACTTTTCAATAACCAGGTCGTTTAGTGATACATTTCCCAGCCCTACACCAAAGCTGGGCATCCTCTTTGTCTTTTCACAAGCAGAAAGCAAGCCCTTTGCAGAGAGTCGATCTGAATACAATTCTGAGAGAAAAAGAGCGAAAGTGCGGGGGGTGGGGCCATCAGGAATGTTCGCTCTCCTGCTCAAGCTACGGGTGCATTGATAATTACGTGTTCCAAAACTGCACTTTGAGTATCCTTCATGTTGACTGCTCACAGGGGTATCCTGGGATGTGGAAAGCTGATCCCGTTTCTGCTGATCTCCCTTTTTAACGGGCTCAAGTAGCTTTGGACCATCATGGTTCACAGCTGCTGACCTCTGCTCATTATATTCTAGACATATCTTTGACCTGCTTCCCATGCAAGTCATCAGATTATAAAGAACAGGAAAAGGCTGGTCATGGTGTTGCCAGCTCCGCACTTGTAAGAGAGCATAATTAGAAGTAATGAATGGAATAATACATCACTATTCATAAGAAATGTCACATAATTAACTCAAATAATGTAAAACTATATTCAAATTTTCATTTGGCGTGAAAATAGATTTACTAGAACACCAGTAGGCAGTTACTGTTTATCTTACATTTTCACACACATATCAAAACTGTTAGATTCTACTGAGTGAATATACGTGGTTTTCCTAAAACGTAGTCAGATGGCTTTCTTCGCATTGAGCCTTGGTATATTCCTTATTTGTTATTTATTATATATACATAATTTGTATATGTGTTCAACTGGTATAATTAGCATAACTAATTTATATTTATTGCAAATTAATGATCTAATTTATTTACTTAGCTTACATTTCCTTCCTCAAGCTAATTGACTGAAAAAATAACGATAAATTTGCACAAATAGCTCTTGGGCACAAATCCTACACCAGCCTCTGCCTAAGGACTCTGTGCAGTACTAGGTAACTGAACTAGTTTTTTTTTAATTTATGCCATTTTCCTGGGCTTTTTGCCATAGGCTTTGAGCATATCTCTAGAGCCTTAATTTGAGTCCGTGACCCCCACTTTGTGTTCAGAATGCATGTGGCCTCAGGGGAATTATCTCCATAGGTAACAAGTGTGGTTACCGTGGCACTCAACACCTCTGCTGTAGTTCCCGGAAATTCTCTGCAGCACCAATAGCCACCTAGCTATTTCTGCAATGCCAAGAGATCTAAAAAGTCCAGAGGAGGCAGCAAACAGCACATAGAGGCAATCTAGAAATAGTCCACTGTTGTAGTAGGGTCAGTGGACAAGCCAGGAACTTTCGTTTCAGAGGGTGTATGAGGATGGTTGGAGGAGGCTGCCAGAGAATCCTGGGGTCCAGCATGATGCCTGTGCTTCAGCACCATTGAGTGTTGCATAATTGTGGACTTCTTGATGGGTGAAGACAACAGAATGTTTTCTCTGCTCCTAATAGCCATCTTCCACATGGTTCAGGGAGACCCTGGCTGTGTGCAAGAGCTTAGGGAGGCACTGTGCAGCCTTCCTGCCTTTCCTTGGCGCGGTAGGCATTGGTTGTGTCTTTTAAACACAGATCATTACTGTCTGAGCTGCAACGATATTGTAAGTGGATGAACCAAGATAACATTTTGTGGCCAACAGTACCTTTTGAGGTCGATGCTCTTTCTTATCCCTCATGATCAGTGAGCGGTTCAAATAGAAAAGTCAAGGCTCAGACCTGTAGTGACTCCCATCCCATGAAATTAGGAGTTAATCCAGGACTCTTTATTCTCATTTATTATATGCTCCACCCCATGCTGACCTTGGTGTCCTAAGAAGTTCAACTCCTCAGAGTCTTAAGCTTTCCCCAAGAGATCAACTTCCTGGTGTTGCCTTTCTACTTGTCAGTCATCTTTCTGTTGATGTCTTTAATATTTTATCTCAGTCGCCATGATGGTTGGTTGTCGAATATAACTAACTTGACGATATCCAGGAAATTGTCCATTGCAAGTTGCACAGGGCCAGGCACAGTTGCCTGGCTGCCACATAATTTCCCCTGAGGTGAAATAAGTCTGGGAGGGATAGGTTCATGGGGCTTTCCAACTTCTCTCTTTTCTTAGGAGGTTTTGAAATGGCTGGAGTTATCGAGACATCATTTCATCTTCAGGATTTATTTTCAGTTCAAGAGTTTTGGGGGAACCAAGATTTATCTGCTGAGCGCTAATGCTTTAAAAGTCAACCACGATATTCTCCTTTCCACCAGAGATGATTGCTTTAATAGTTGTTAAATAAGATGTGTCAGGATAAAAATAAATCAGCAGGGATTATATTAAAATCTTCACAGAGAGCGTTGCACGTCCAGAACCTAGAAAGCCAGTTGGTATTTTCTGTTCTAGTTGGGAGGGAGCAAACATCTCCCAGAGTTTTTGCATTGAGTCATATTGCCAGTCGTGCCATTAATGGAAGTTCAGGGTGTGACAGACGTTGAGGAAGACTTCCTAGGCAGTAAAAGAGGCAGCTAGAACCTGAGCAAGAGGGTGACAACAGTTGGGGACATATAGTCCCTATCCCCCAATACATGAGCACTCATGGCAAAACCCGACACAGCTTAATGAACAATGCTCCATGCCTCGAAACTGTGCAAGGGAAGGCCTGGTGAGGTCAGGGATAGATGGCTGCAATGGGGACTGCTAGCATTTGCTCCGCCTCTGTCTTCCGGAGCAACTCCACCCATTACATACTAAAGCCATGCATTGAAGGAAGCTGGCATCCTGTTCCCTGGGCTGATGGTGCTGGAGTTCTAGAACTGAAGGCTTCCCTAGCCTTTTGCAAGGGCAGGCAAGTTGCTTTGGGTAGCCTTTCCTACTTATTTGACGAATTTGGGTTTGTGTATCAACATGCAATAAGGCTTATGTCTCTTTTGCCTAGCTGTGAAGACCGGGTAAGACGGGGTACGTTTGTTGGTGAGCTCTCTCATAATGAGATACGAAATGCTCAAGAGCAGAGTTTCTGAGGACTGGGGG